CGCAATTTGTCATCTTTAATCGTTATAACTTTTATATAATTTACTGCGAACTATAAGTATTTATTGTAAAATTGTATTCTATGTTCAAGAATTGAATATTTAAAGAATATAATTATCATTTTAAATACTCGCTTATAATAGGCAATCGTAATGCAAGTCATTTTATTATTATAAAACATACTATTTTTATTTTTTATAGCAAAAAATTGAAAAGTTTAAAAGTTATTTTTTACAGCAATTTTGTCACGATACTTTGTTACATCATAATCACTTGAAAAAATCTGATATGGCTCACGAAGAACTCAAGTCATGATATAAGAATACAAGATGAAACATTCTCGTGGATATGCAGTAGGAGAATGAATTTTGGACAAAATTTGATGGGTTGTTTCCAATACTGCTATCGCAATTATGCGCAATGCTACAACTTGTATTCTTACATCATAGTGCTGATCATGATATAAGAGTATAAAATATCTATTCCGTTGCACATAATGGCGATAGACTAAATCAGCATAACCAAATCAAATACTTGCTCCAAAAGTTAATGCACTTGGTAACAATCAGGTTCCTTTTTACAATTTCGGACAACGTTTTGATCAAAGAACAGCCGCCATATTCAAGACGATTGTGAATGGAATACCTTATATTTCTATTTGACTAACAGAATCATGGCGCTACCGAGGAAATTGCTTTGTATTTTCATTTCCTAGCTGATTAATAAATATTAATGTATAATTTTGAATCCATCTAATCTTCTCAAATACAAATAATATTGAGTTGTCAGCAGAGGCATGAATGTTTATAATAAAAAGTAATAACGCTGATAATGACTCGAATAAAAAATTTTTTTATGTAAGAAAATTTTTTGTTACATAAAAATATTTCTTTTAAAGATTTGCGTTTCAAAACTATATAAACTATTTAATTCTAATAAAAAAGAACAATTTGTTTCAAAAAATTTCATAGAGAAGTGCATGTCGAACTTTAAATCAATGTTTTAATCACACAACTTAAATTATTATCACTCAAATCTTTCAGTTTAAAATTAAATTCATTCTTCTTTATCCTTATTGTAATATAAACGCATGTGCATTTACTTAAATATTTATAAAAAGTTAATTGCACATAACTATTCTGTTTCTTAGTAAATGTTAGCAGTATTCATAAAAGCTTATCATGATGTGTATATGTAATAGATTTATGTGTGTCACATTACTGTAATGTCGAATTTTAGTAAGAGACTCTAATAAATTTAAAGTCGATTTTTAACAGAACTCTATAATTAGAAATATTTAATTATTTCAGAAAAATTATTAAATTGTACGTTGGAAATATTTAACAATTGGAAAAATTTAATGTGTTTTACGTATTGTAAAAATATATAAATATACAATAAATTATAAAATCGATTATAAAATTATAAATTATATATTCACATAAGATTCTTATTGTAAAATTATAAAACCAATTTTAATAAAATTTTTTTATAAATTTTACAAATGCATTTATAAAATAGATATACATTACGTTTGTAACAATTTTCCTTTACAGAAAAAATGATGAATGAAATGAAATGACAAATATAATGCAAAATTTATTAATTAAATCAATGTCACAAAATTCCAGTAAAAGTGTAACAAAACTTTGCTGCTCATAAAGTGAAAAGTAAACAACAAATAAATGGCAAAACCCGAGAGTAGAATATGCACAGAACAATATAATGCCAAATTAGCAGCAAATGTCGAGCAAAACTTGCTGTTGGATAGCTCGATCATTTGACATACTTTTTTAAATATCCTTAAATAGAACTCTCTTTTATGAATTTTATACATAATTAATTTTAAAAATATTTACGCTTTATATAGATTACGAATGGTTTAAAAAAGTCAATTCATGAGAAAATATATGCAATAAATCTCAGGGTCGAATCTCTCTCTCTCTGAGATCTTTCCAAGTAACACACAGCACTTATAAAGCGTTAACAAAGCGCTAAAAAAGCGCATATAATCACTTCTTTAACGCTTTGTAAGCGCTACTATGCTACTTGAATCGTCAAATATAAAAGTTAACCGCTTTCATGCGGAGCAATACTTTATTTCACACATATACAATTCCAATTATAATATAATTTAATATATTTCCAGATGTATCTCTATTAAATTTAAATTGTGTTATATTATAAAAATGTTGTATTATATTATTATATATTGCAATTGTTATATTAAAAAATATGTTAATTTATTAAATTTATTATAATAACATTGTTATAAACTTTGTATGTATAGTATAAAATAATATTATTTGCCTTTTTCTTATTTTCTGTAAAACTTGTGAAATAATAGGCACAAGATATGGATAATCATTTAAAAGCATTTAAAGCTATTTAAAAATAAGTCAAGGTTTTTAAAGTAATTTATGTAATTATGTATTACATCGAGAAAAGTTAAAAGATGTACGTGAGCCATGCCAACAAAATTTTGTAACTTTTTGTTTGACAAATATTTGCTTAACAGCTCATGAATGCATTTAGATGAATCAACTAATATTTTTTAAAACAGCAATTTGTTTCAGCACACATGAGTCAATGTATAAATAACGTTAATTTACATCACTTTAATTTTTAAAGGCAAAATTTAGGTTACTCATTGACTCATCTAAATATCGCACAATTATTTTACTACTACTTTTTATATTATTTGACAGCACATAAAATGCATTATTACTTAATGTATTATTATATTTAATTTACTATTATTTAATAATATACTCATAACTATAATCAAATAATGTTAATATTCTACGTCACATTTGTTTCGTAACCACGATGGAAGAATGGTTGTGACTATATTTTTGATAGTTTTCAAAAAATTACTTTCGTTTCATGACTTTATAAAATCAGTTGCGGATATTTCAATGTCAGAGTTATCATATTATAGAATGCAGAAGTATTTTGGTTTCTCTGTTTGTAGATACACACTCCTTGCGTAAATGAGTCATTTGTAAGTTAATACTTTCGTCAACAATCTTCGGGTGACAATTTAAATAACAAAGTTTTATATTTTTATAAATTCTCGTACTTTCTCGTACTTACGGTGTACGTAATTTGTGCTGTTAAAATCATACTTACTCTTGCGTATTGAGACGTGGACGAATGAAAATTTATTGCTTGATTTATGAAGAACGTTTATTTCTTTCTCTGACAACGTTGAAGTATACCAGATTCACATTATCACTCGCTCAGATGAAATATCAATCCTCTTGTTTAACTCAATGTTTTACTTTAGTATTTTGGTTTCAATTCTCGTCTATCTAAAGATCTTTATTTTCTCTCCGTCTCTTTCTGTTTTCCTCCTTTTCATGGAGCACGAAGCACTCACGTGAGTTCCGATCGAGCGGGAACTCGATATACTACAGAAGGATTCGTATTGTTTTTTTCTTTCTTAAAGATTACATTTATAATATAATGCGATAATGACTTATCAGCGGATTATTAAAGTTGTTCAGGTTTACAAGATTATCAGAAAAATCCAAATGAATCGCGCAATCCTGTAGTCAACAAATCAAATAAATTCTCCCGTCTGCAAATATACAAAGAGATAATGACGACGATTAAACAGTGACCTGCACTGTGCGTTATCTATATCTTATGCTTTATGGATTTCTCGCCAATCTTGGAAATGTGAAAATAATTCGGAAATCGCACGCTTGCACTGCAAGTTGATGATAAATAGATTTCACTAATTGATGTCGATGGGAATTCGTGCGTAGCTCCACCATGAAAAATTTCGCAGTTTCGAGAATAAATTATTTTTAATAACTCATCTGTGTTGTCCTTGAATTCCACTGGAAATTATTGCCGGCATTTCCGCAATCGTGTAATCAGGGTTTAGTCTCACAGATTAACAGATTTATTAAGGTAATCATCCGAGAGATTGACAACTTTTTTTCCGTCTGAGATCGTTGAGTGGTCGATGAACATAAAACAATGAATAAGTAACCCTCGTCGATTTTGCAAGATGCTGAGCTTTTTCTGAGAAGTGGCAGAGTAATAAGAATAACGAACCGAAATTAACGTGAAATGGTGACAGACCGCACACGACTGGGCAAGTTTCTTAGCGTTAGCCAGGTATATATATGTGTACAGACAGTCAATACATGAGTGACTACCGCGAACACGAGCTTCATCGCTCATGCGAGTACATCAGAAAGGGAGGGAGTAGATAGTGACAGCAGGTAATGTACTCGATTCGACATTACTTTGAAGTGTACACGAGAGTGTGTGTGGCGGGAATTAAAGTCAACGTTTGCTTGCCAATATTATAGGCAAAAAAATTGCTCCATATACCGAATGGTGGGGGTTTGACAACGCTTGTGAAGAGCTAATTGTGAGGAAAATATACAATATTTTTCCACATGTAGATATCTATAATTAATTATTACAATGCTGAAATAATTAAAAATTTAGGTATAGATATATGTTTGAAGATAATTTGGCTAGACTATCAAAATAATTATATTGAAAACTCAAGCATGATGAACAATGCAGTAAAAACTTTTGACATTCTAACAATGAATCTAAGCTTACTTATCTATCGTACTTAATTATTTGGATAATTTAACAAAAATATTTGCAGATCTGTATGTAATTAAATTTTATTATATATATCAGCAAAATCATGTACAATCATAGTACAAAGAAGAGAGGGCGAATAACAGTTTAACTTCTTTATTTTTTTTATTAATGGAATCATTTATCAAGTATGAATCCCGATGGCAATAAAAAAAAATCACCTGATTAGGAGTTACAAAGTTGAAAATATTTGAATTTATATTGTGAAGTTGAAGATAAAATCGAACATATAGAATTTGACACGTACAAAATGTATAATTATAAAATGTATAATTATAATAATTTGAAAATATATATTTATATGATTTACAAAATAATTCTTTCTGATTAATCATTTAAATTCTTTCTGAGATACCTCAATGTTTGCGATTTTTTTGAATAAATAAGAAAATCAGAATTGATAATGACATCCAAAATTATTGATCGAAGCGCTATTTATCGAGCGTATAAACATCGAATTGCTTTCCGCTTTCACGTCTTTCCCTCTACCTAATCCTTGCGATATCGCTTCCGCTTCTCTATCCCATTGCGCGTTTATTCTCGTTCAAGTGCTGATGACTGCGTAATTAATTGATCAATGGCACGGATATAAAGTCGAAGACGCGACGAGCCGCTCGAATCAGATATCGTCGACACCTCCGATTTCTGAAGAATACTACATCATGTAACCGTTGCCTGTGTTTTGTACCCATAGGGACGTTATTCGGCTGTGCGATCAGCTCGATTCGCGCCTCCACATCACGCGCGTTCCCTTTCACCTTATCCTCGTCTCTCTTCGTTCGCAGGTCGCGCGCACTCACCGTCTCTCTCCGTTGTCTTGCAAAAAGATCCCCGGCAGGTCTCCCTTCTCTGGACCGCTTCTGCGCCGCCGGTGTAGTTTCTCATTGTAGGTTGTCGCTCTTGTTCCACATCGCGAACGGCGCAACTCTGCAGTGCCGCGCGTTACGTAAACGCCGGCCAAGGGAAATTGAAGGTGCCCCCTCGAAATGTCGCAAGTGCCACATTCCACTCTTTACGGAAATGAAGGGTCCTTGATACCAGTCAGATATCAATCACGTTGATCAGACATTAGATAAAAATCACAAGACGAGATTGATCGAGATACGTCATTCTTACGATGCTATGCCGGTAACTGAAATGATCTCATAATGAGCGAAACATGAGATATTTCTTTGTGCATAAAATCACAATGCGGGAAAATAAATACAGTCGAAGAACATATATTGTTATAAAGATTTCCCGTGTATTCTATTCGTTCTCATCCTCTTTCGCTTCGTTGCTCTAGAGAATCTGTCCTTCGTTGCTTACTGATTATCTACATCCTCAAGTGACATCACTGCTTTACGTTTTATGTTAGGAAACATAATTTTGCGCTAAGAGTCTCTCAAGCAGTTTGACAGACTATTAATCAACATTCTTCCTGGTTTCCGCTATATTCTCTAACAATTGACCAGGTGCTCTCTATTGCTCCAAAAATCTGTAAAATAATACAAACGCGCATTGTTTTATTTAAAGATTACGGCGTATTAAAATTAAGTTGCTATCTCAGATGAACAATAATAATGTTTATGTACTTATACCCTTATTAGTCGATAATCTACATTAATTAACTATCTTAAAGACTGATTAAATCTTAAAACTAAAATTAGTATTTGATTCGGAAAAATAAAAAAAATTATGTAAGTATTTAAATAAATTTTTTAAGTTTAAAACTTGTAAAAATTAATTTTCAACTAGAAAAAATTCGAAGCAAGACTAATTTTTTTTACAAAATCCAAACTTGCAATAAATTTTCATATATCTATACGGAAACGATGATTGTGATAAGGTATCTAAAGATTTAGCTAGATATAAATCTAATGATTTTGTTTTTATTATCATTAAAATAATTATGTAATATGGTTGTTAAAATATTGAATTTTTTCAGCATTATTCATCATGTTGATAGTCTTATACTGTGAATAATTATTTTAATAAGTCGAACAAAATTATTTTTAGATTCGTATCTGGTTAGATTTTTAGATACTTCTGCAAAATTGTTTTTTTTTTGCGCATTTCTGAGAAAAGTCGCACCAAGATCATTAGCCACACGATGAAAATAGCAATGTTCTTTGCGAACATCGTCCTCGTGGCTTCCGCCCACTTAGTCGATGTCTCGATTAGTATGGGTATCAGCAGCATGATCGTTGACATGCCCAAGGCGGAGAACAGGCCCAACAAAGGTACCATTTGGGGCACGGCGATGGCCACCAGCGCTACGGGAGAAAGAAGGACAAGGACGAGTTATTCCTACTAATTACAATCGACATTCGTAACATTAAATGCTTATAATCGTGGTACGCTTACTGGTGAGGATTACACCGCCTAATCGAAGCAAGCTTTCATAAAATCGATGTTGCAGTGAACTCTTAGTAGCGATTCTCGAGTAGATCATAGGCCATAGCACATTGATTGGCACGTAGTATGTCAAACCGAAAGTAAACAGGACTGACAAGGAAATAGCTATCTTGACTACTTGGGACAGGCTGCAAAGAGTAACGAACGATAAAATGAATGAAGCCATGAATTGCAATTTTGAAATTAATACAAATCTATTGTAAGATTTATTATGCACTGAAAAAAATGTTTGGTTGAAAATGGACAAACCAGAAAATTCTGATTATATCAATCAGAATTTCAGTTATCTCGATTAAAATTTTTTGATTAAATCTAAAATTTTAGTCGAGATAACGGAATTTGATTTTTATTGATATAATCAGAATTTTCTGATTTTTTTCAGTAGGAAAATAAATTTTTTAATACAATAATAACATTTCTCTCTCTTATACGCGATTATATAAAGAAATCTATTATTATATAAAGAAATCTAATTCATGCTCAAAAGATAGAAGTATAATGTTATACGTTTATAATGATGATAAAAAAACGGTTATTATCTATCAGGAAACGTTGTATCATTATTATTTGAATTTTAAAATACTACAGCAGTATTATAGGAATGTATATGTATACATTACAATTATTAATCTACATATAATCATCGATCTGTAAAATTCAATCGTAAAGAAAAAAATTTCATAACAAATTATAAGATAAGCTACGTCACCGAATACGTGTCAATAGTTATATAGAACGTTATGTAATTATAGATAAGCGATTTAATAATTCACGCAAAAAAACTGTATTCTGTGATATTTCAACTGAAGTTGACTTCAAACTAATTTTAAATCCGAGTCAGACCTGAGTCCTTCGTGTTTACGTATCAAACTGACCCTCACAATTGTACATTGCGTATTTCTTTTTTACGGTCTGCTAACTCGTTTCGCTTTTGTTAAGTTTAAGTTATTCGAAGGTCTCGTTGCCTTGTAATTCTTACGAGAAATACAGTATATACAAAGTAAATCATAAATACTGAATACGTAAAGAATCATACATTCACGTAAATGTTAAGCACATCCTGTTCTGTGATCACCGACCACGCGATGTCAATTATACAGCTGCCATTTAAAACAGACAGCCGACATATTTACCATTTGTCGCACGTTAATGCACAGTTTAATTGCCTTTGATAACGATTTGTTTGCAATTCCTGGCAAATAACAAATTTTTATTTGCACAAAAAGCTGATGTAATTTCTTCAAATATTTCATTTGTGAATGGCCTATAAAGCTAGCAGTTTCTCCTCCAAATCTAATTAATTATAATTGGTGGAAAGAGAAAAGGAATGAGCTTTTGGTAACGATTTGTTTACAATTCCTGGCAAATAATAAATTTTATTTGCACAAAAACTGACATAATTTCTTCAAATATTTTGTTTGCAAATGATCTGTAAAGCTAGCAGTTTTTCCACTAAATATAATTAGTCGAAAGAGAAAGGGAAAGAAAAGGAGAAACATGTCAATATATATATATATATATTCAACGTTAAAGTATTAATTAAATCTGGACTGGATGGTACGAGTGTTTTGCAAGACAGAAAAAAAATCCACTTACGTCTCCTCCATTGGTAAGTTCTTGATAACGGTGTCGTAAGCTTCTGGGTACTTGTTGTAGCCCAGGAAGCCGAAAGTTAGGTATATAACAATGTTCAGCAAGGTACTGGCAATAATTATACGTGACATATGAGTAGGATGCCTCATCGTGTTCTCCAGCGGTAGATACAGGGTCATATTGTGCAAAGCAAACAGGAAAATGGCGCAATACATGGGCACAGGTAGGACTTCCGTCACAACGTCGAGTCTACGAGGATCGGGAATATCGTCCAGGAAATAATAGAACGCGGTGCAAACTCCAAGGAACAGGAAGAAAGTGCCGATAATGGAGAACGGTGCTAGATATTTCAGGTTCGGCACGAAGCCCAAGATGCAGGTAAAGGGAAAGAAGATGATGATATAAACACGCGAGTTCATCTGAATATTCGCGAAAAATTCTATCACCTGAAAATGTCGCCAGCATGAATTATCTAACTCTAATTTGTTGTTTCTAAATAAAGAGATATTGAAGATTATATCAAACCGAGAGCTTTATCGTAAAAAATAAAAATAATCGCAGTTTGTTATAGATATCGATTTCCCGCAATTTTACCTTATCTTCCTGTTTGTTTTAATATCTGCTACTTTTACAACAATAAAAAAAATATGAGACGCAAATAAGATGGAATGTGAGTCAAGTTTTAATAAAATCCTTCAAATCTTTGCGATCGATATTTCCTTAATTAAAACATGAAGTTATAATTTCCGGATACAAGCCGAGATGCGAAGGACTTTCCATAAGAAAAAGAGTCGAGACTGCGGTTTCGTCAAACGAATTGATCGTTAAAATTAAGGTCGGGTTGTTGTTCCGGATTGTATCCTACGTAAAAGGATTTTTATACGTAAGACTCGCCAAACGAACGTCACGATGCCGCTTTATCGTTCGACTTCCGGCATAAGACGTTGTGTCATACCTGTTGGAACGATGTGGCCACGTATAAGATGTATATCACTGCGGCCTGAAAGTGCACGAAGCAAATGAGCACGTTGGTAACTACACTGAATAGCCTGGCGTACTTTCGAATCCTCTCCGGACCTGATTGGAAGGAGAACTGCGCCGTTTCGGCGAAACCCAGCATGGGCACGCGATTACGTCTGCATAACATCTGGGAGCACTGCACCTGCACACCAGAAAGGAGACAGAGAAAGAGAGAAAAAGAAACTTTGCCTGCATTCAGATGCATTTCGCGCGACGGAACCTTTTCTTTTTCTCTATATTTAATAGCTTATCTCATCAGCGGCGCCAATTCGCAAACAATTGGGTTATCGCGATACTACATAAGGGCAAGTATCGTAAACAAGAGGATCTGCCTCTCTCTTTAGCGTTTCTCGTTAATTGTTTTTGAAATACTATAACGATAACATTCAAGATGAAAAAAATCATCGCTTTCCACGTTCTCACGTACGATAAGGACGGCCATGTGAATGCACAGTGTGCCAATGACGATGCCGCAGACGATAGACATCATATAGCCGGTCCTTCTGAAGGCGTGCGGTAAGAAGAGTATACCGGTACCGATCGCGCACTTCAGCAGGTGCATGAATACGGCAAAATCTCTGCAAAAATTTTATCACAAATAATGTAAGTGTGTCCTTCCAATATGTTTGTTTATCAATATCTTTGTACATAATTGAAATCGTAATAAATAAGATAATATTTAATCTCGTTAATCTTTATTAATTTTTTGCGATAAACACAATATTATGTAATTTATTGTATATGGCAAATATTTGATATAATATTATGATATAATTGATGATGATGATGATATAAAACCCTAAACACAATGCGAAGGTATAGCGATAGCAATAGAAATAACACAACTTCAAGAAGATCAGAAACTGTATATTCCAGTATATCTGATTTCTGATATGTTGAAATCGTGTTATTTCTATCTCTATTTCTTCGCATTGTATCTGGGACTTAATATGTATTTTTATTATAGAACTTCACTATAAGTTCTATAGTTTTAATGTATTATGCCCAATTTCTTCAGATCCAAGAGATATCTCCTAGAGTACAATGGAGATATCTTTTGGATAAAGTTATCCAGGAGATATCTCCATTGTACTCTACAACTTATCTGAAAGAAGAAATTGAGTATCAGTTATCTTGAAATTTTATAACTTTTTTTTAACTTAATGAAAAGTTTTGGCAATAAGAAGGAGAACGATATGGCAACGAATGTTTCGAAAATTTTTTAATAATAATTATATACTATATATATTACTTCCATAATTTTTTGCAGTAATGTTGTCACGAGTGCAACTTTAGACTTTTAATATTTTATTTATAAATTTTCAAAAGTTTATAAACATCAATTCTTGTCTTGAAATAACTGAATAATCACTATGTCCATGAACAGGAAATGTATATAGGCCGTCATATGATGTTAAGTCATTGTTTGAATGATATAAGAAGATTTAAGAGCGTGTGTGTCTAAGAACAGCTTAATTGTTATAATATAGAATTAGCTGATACCTCTTATCAGCTTACACATTTATCAAAAAATTACACAGACCTACGAAATTGAGGGTGTTAAAAGATATTTAAGAAGTACAATAGGAGTTTTTTCCATGTAATTTTGTACATTGAATTTGAATTTAACTGCGGAATTGGAATGGCCTAGCAATTGAAAGTTTTTAAAATATTTAAGGTTAAAATATCTAGAAATTGCTTACTTTGAATTCCAAAAAAGATACAAATTATTTAAAAAATTATATTTTTACCTATTTTTACCCAAATTTATATTTTTCCTGGTAAAAATTTTCACAAATTGGTCTGGTCAAATTAGGCGTGGCGCAATTGCTATGCAATGGTTCATTGAACTTTTATGCGACATAAACCTTGGGTGCTTTCATAATGACAAGCACTCACTGAGCGCTTTCATTTGATTCCATTAGATTTTAAAATGTAGACCAGTGTACAAAATTACGTAGGAAATCATTCTTATTTCTCAAACATCTAAACTTCACAGGCCTATGTTATATTATAAATTATGTTTTATTATAATTTATTATAATTTTGAGATAAATCCATTTTATATATACTAAATTGCGCACAACTCATGCAGTGTAACAACACATGCAGAAAAAATATAATTAATAACAATTTCAACGCTTTAAATTGTAATAAGAGTTTTTTAACTTTTTTAACAGATTTAATTCATCACGAATTATTAGTTTAGTTTAACGTACAAAATACCCCAATCAACGTCCATTAAAAGTAACATCAACATTACAATTTTGCACTCAATAAATACATGCACAAAAAGAATGAATTTTGTTAAAGTAGGTATCTAAAAATTAAACTAAATATATAAATAAAAAAATAATTTTGTTGAACTATCAAAATAATTATGTAGGACAGGGACCAAAGTTGCGATTCATTAGTATGTTGCAAATAAATTTTTGGTGGGTCGCGAAAAATTTTAAAATTTTAAATTACATTTTATTATATTAAGATGTTACTGTCCTTTCGTGACTTCATATATGTATGAAATTGGTTTTTTTCATGGTAGGAATTAAAAATAAATTGCAAAATAAGTTATATTTATCAATTTCCTTGCGATTGAAAATGACTTGTATCAATGTCAATATTAAGACTATTATTAATAGAGATAGGAAACAAGTGTACTTTTCATACATCTAAAAAATATATCAACAAAAGTGTATTTAATAAAAAAATAAAAAAAGAGAGCTAAAATTAAGTATAAATAAATAAATTCCCCTCTTTCCATTTTTCTATATCCACTATAGCTAGGTAGATCACAGGATTTGCTATTTTAAAAAGTGGATTGTGATTCACAAAAGTTTGGAAAAACTTGATGTAGGATGTTTCAAATCGTTAGAATATAAAATTATTTGTAATATTATTCATCACACTTGAAATTTTTACGTATTTATTTTGATAGTCCAACAAAATTATTTTCAGATTGTATCTAATTAAATTTTATCGTTCTTTCCCTGTGATACTAATCATAGTCATACAATTGTTGTTGAATATAAAATTATAAATAATGGTATGTTATTTTTAGTTGATATCGACTGAGATATGTCTTGAGAAAGTTCTTAATTGATGGCAATCAAGGGAAAGATACAAAACGTACGAGGTCAGAGGTCGTCCAGGTGGACGATTGGCAAAGGGATCATACTCGTCCTCCTCGATCTGTCGTTCAGCTTGAACATTCTCTGCGTTTCGTCTTATTGGGATATAGGATCTATCGTTATCGAGAACGTAAATATGATGAATTGGAATTAAGTTTAAGAGAAAATGTCTTACTTATCGATTATATCGCGCGTTGTCTGGAACTCCGCAAGATTTATCGCCATTCCTGGATTTCTTTGATAATTTTATAGTCATTCGGATCTCCCGTGGGTCTTCTCGATTCCGTACGACGCTTCCGTTATTATCCGTAGATTATGATAAACCACCTATTAACCTGCTTGCGTGGCGTTCAATGACGATAATGCCTTTCCGTAAACTCGTTTAACAGAAATGACATTTACGGTAGGAGAACATTCGAGTGCAACTTGATAGAAAATGCGAAACGGTTTCAAAACGCAGCAATTTCAAAACGTGATTAAACCACACGGGCAATTACGTCGTAACTTTCATTGACATTTACATCCGTAGTACGAAGTCGTCTCGAATTATCGATTTAAATCGCCTGTATCCTGCGAAACTAGAAAGGAAGAAACCGAGAGCTTTTAAAATAAAATATCAAAGTGCTTTCTTGATTTATTAAATTTAAAGAGACAGGAAAGTTAGATTACTCAAAATCTTTGACAATTTTTTATGACAAATTAAATAGATCAAGTTTTGAACGATATTTATACAATTAACACATAAAAACCAAAAATTATTTTATTGACAAATAATTATATATATAATAAACAGAATTTATATAAAAGTTATTTATAAAAATAAAAAAGTTATTTATATAAATTTTTTTTTCGAGATTATCATTTTGCAATATCTCAGCTTTCATGTAGTTCATGGTGAATTTTAACTATGATAAAATTTTTGTAAAATAGAGCAAATAAAATTTATTGCAGGTTTTATTAACGAATTAAAGAATTCAATATTTTTATCTTTTTATACTAAATTATCTTTTTATACTAAAAATTCAATTCTCAAAATAAAATGATTGTCCGTGATTCATTTTATAGCGACGAACCTTTTGAAGATTTCTAGTCATCATCGGATCGGTAAGATATTGTTGCAAAACGATGACCTCGAAAAAGAAACGGAATATATATACAGTGTGTCCGGAAAACAGAGTTCAACATTTACAAAATAGATAGTTATGATACTAACATACAAAATTGTTTATATCTCAGAAACGGAAAATTTTCGATCTATGTCTATTAAAGGATTTGTTATTCACTAGTGTATACTATTTACCTTATAAATGTTGGATCTTTTTCTCGAATATCCTACATATACATACGTGTATGTGTGCGCGCGCATGTGTGTCGTATTATATAGTATTTATCAATAACAAATATATTTTTTTACTTTATATATTGTATAAATATCATTCCAAATTTTATTTTTGTACATTTATTTAGATCGTCATAAAAAATTATCAAAAAATTCGAGCAATTTATTCCTCTAGTCCTTAAATCACTTTCAGGTATTAAATATTTTTTAACATAAAAATTCTCGACATTATACATTCTCTTTCAAATAATTGCAGGAATGTGTTCAGGAACTACGTATTCTCTCGAAATAGTACAAAATATCTATTACATGTTAAGCAATCTATATTATACTCGTTGTTTAACATGATAGAAATGTGTGTCACATATGTTATTTTTTTACTGCAAAATATAACTATTTTTACTGTACATATAACAATCTTTAAAGAAGTAATTTTTTTCGTGTAGGTTACATAATATTTTCTTAGTAATCGGTGAACTTGAAATATTTTACCAACCAAGGAAAACGTGATATTGGAACTGAATGCATAATTATTACCATTTTCCATTTACGTTGTATTCGAGGAGCGTGCTATCAGCGTGCCATTGTCGTCTTTATCGTTCATTACAGACAGAACAAGAACAGAACGCAATAACGCTGATAGCACCTCCCGAATGCATAAAAATTTATTACATTGTCGTTGGATAGATACAATATATGATAAAAAAAACTGCGCAGTAATAATATAATAACACTGTATATCGTTAAAAATTCTACAATTTAGCTTCAGGACGTAAAGTCATTACTCGAAAATAACAAAAAGTTTAAAGGTGAAGTAATTTGTTTTGTAAAATTATTGAAATTTTTAATTAAGGAGTTCTAAATGACAGAACATATTCTTTATCATTTGTGCAATTATATAAATGCAGAAATGAATTGTCTCAATTTCTGTTGGTAACTCAATAAAATATGTGAAAATTGGCTCTAGAAAAAGCTTCTTCATCGACATTTCTCTTTACCAGAAATTTACTTCGATCAAATATATTCTTTGATAAGTTAATAGAAATGAGCAAGTTTTGTGAAACAGTAAAATGGAAATCTTTCATATTTATCGCAAATTAATTTCCTATGAAAGTGGTACAATAATTGAATTGATCTTATGGTAACAGTAGATCACATTTTATACAATATAAAATAATTCTAAATTAATTATGGAAAAAAATACATTTATTTGTAGTCACACCTAAAACTTCCTTCTAAAACTTATATTTTGACACATGTCTGAAGAATTTATTACAGATTAATAAGGAATATTAAGAACAATATTAAATAAAATTCAGTTATGTTGTGAAGCCCACTATTTAATAAGATCTTCAATTATTTTTATACTAAAATAATATTATAAAATCTCTATTACATTTCATCATCTCATTATATTGAAAGATTTTAGTAATATTCTCATATTTGAATG